ACGATTATATACTACATGTATTGATTTATTAATATATTTCCTCTCAATATATATACAAGTTAAATGTTGATGCTGCACATCAAAGACGCCGCCAAATGATGTGAACAGTCACAGGTAATGTACAAAATCAGAATTGAAAATCGTTCTCTATTACAGTTGAATATCCGAAGCACTAATCAATTTTTTAACCATGTTCTTGGTATGTGTCTGAAATTCTGAAATGTTTGTCTGGTCGAAGCAAAATGAAGTGGATAACAAAAGAAGTTGAAATGATTGGTAAACTTAAAATTAATTCAAGACAATATGTGCCGAGAATGTGTCCATTTAGATCTTCGTGCGAATTGCATAATGTTCAAATGATTTTGAGGACGAACTGTCTGTTATTTTACAAATAGCGAAATTATGTCTGTAATATCAAATAATAGTTATGAATAAATTTATATATATAATCAATTCTTTGTTACGTATTGTTTACTTATGTATAAAAGATTAAACTACTTGAATTTACAAAAAATTGCATATTCGCCTTGTATCTAGGTTTGGGACCACTAAATGTAAAAAAAAAATCTACGCAAAAGAGAAGAATCGTCGGGCACAGAATCCTTTAAAAAATTGTGATACGTTTTAAAATGAACGTACTTTTTTCACTCAGTTGATCTGTTTTATAAATTAAATATTTTCATGTCACACACGTTTTGCCTGTTTTGCAAAAAAATATTTCCGATGGGTCCGTAGCGCCAAAATAATCTCCGTTGCGTATTTTAATGATACCTCTTGTTCCCTGTCCAAATTTGGTTCCCGTCATTAGACTATAGACGGGTATGTGTTGAGTAGAACTGCCGCTCTGATAGTGGGCAAGGTTTAGGCTGTTTGATAATTCGTCAAGTTATATTGATCATAATTGTCCCACCCCGTCAACGAAGACTAAATGCTAGCATATTAAATTTGGCGAGTAAGCAGTATCACTCAAGTCGTCACCTCTCTTTAGAACGATTGACTATAGACTGGCTCATTGGCACGTTATTTATTAGGTAGATAAAAATAGGTAATAAAGAATATGATATTCAAACATGACACTATCACTTCAGTTAAACGTTTATTTTAATCCCTTAAAGCTCTATGACATGTTGTTCACCAGAAAAGCTATTTGTATTAGAAAATTTTGAAAACAATGTACGGAAGAGCATTAGTGCCAGGTGTATGTTTTTTATTAACTCGAAATTTCGAGTTAGTGAAATTTCGAGTTACTAACTCGAAATTTCGACTTACTAACTCGAAATTTCGAGTTAGTGAAATTTCGAGTTACTTATCTCGAAATTTCGAGTTAGTAACTCAAAATTTCGACTTACTAACCCGAAATTTCGACTTATTAACTCGAAATTTCGACATACTAACTCGAAATTTCGAGTTACTTATCTCGAAATTTCGCCTTAGTAACTCGAAATTTCGACTTAGTAACTCGAAATTTCGACTTACATTGCACGACTTTCATTGGTTGCGGGTGAAAGCACGGATTGAATTCAAGATACTTTCTTTCTTGTGTCGCTGTTGCACATTGACAGAGCACCTTAAACATTTATTTAACAGAACAATTTAATAGGGTCAAATTGTCCACACATACTGAACATATCCTTCGCTTTTTTGTGGAGGGGGGTGTAAAATCAAACACATTTCCGTGTTAACCGGGTGTTTCTTTTTCTTAAGCACACATACAACCATCATGTGGAGAAACAACAAGTCCAAAACCCACCCTATTGTAAACTGTGCAATATCATGTGTTAAATAAGTTTTAAATGGCGTATATACGCCAGTTAGTCTGTCACGTTTCTTTATACTTATAATGTTTTTGTAACATTATTCATTATTTACTAATACTTTGATTCATATTGTGTTGATAAAAGTTGATAAAAGTGGAACTTGTTGTTATATATATGTTGGGAATAATATAAAAGCATCCGATTTTACAAGAAATATAGTCAGTCCAACAATTTTGACAAAGGCCTCAGCACGCCCTATTTTGTCCACGCCGCGATACTTTCCTCAGATGTCCCACACGTGAAGTATAGGATCGGTTTTTTTACAGGGATGAGAAGAATATGATTAGTGAAAAGATATGTTCGAACAGATGGGATACAATACATCGTCTGAAGAACGCCTGAACGTACAAATTAAAGGAAGCCTTGTATTTTTTTAGGTCGGATGTGTACATGCCATTACTAAGTTTAAGTTAAAGTTCAATAGTTTTTGTCCAGGCACCCGTTTCTTCATCTCTATCGTTCAAAGGCACTGCCTACTATATCTTATACCATCTAACTAACAACTTTGGCCATTCTTGTAATGTTAATAAGTCGAAATTTCGAGTTACTAAGTCGAAATTTCGAGATAAGTAACTCGAAATTTAGAGTTAGTAAGTCGAAATTTCGAGTTACTAAGTCGAAATTTCGAGTTACTTACTCGAAATTTCGAGATAAGTAAGTCGAAATTTCGAGTTAGTAACTCGAAATTTCGAGTTAGTAACTCGAAATTTCGAGTTAATAAAAAACATACACCTGGTACTAATGCTCTTCCGTAACAATGTGATTTTGTTAAAACAAAAAAAATGCACAAAATCAAGTCTAAAATTTTTACCATTGCTATACGGACAAATGCATATCTACTATACGCGCGTGCACGCGCCGTCTAATAATGTGTAATCAAATGGGCAGACAACCGTTCAACCGTCGACAGTCGTGTACTAGTCGTACTAGTATATACATGTCGGTGTAAAAAACATAATTTACGGACGGTAAATATTCATCTATTTCTAACATATCCCAACTTTGATCGAGTAAATCAATGTTATTGACTCTTAGTCAACATCTAAAGGAGTATGCTAACAAATACATGTATCTGACCCTGTGCTAGCTTTACTTTAGGTGATATTTGAATAATCACACTTTACGATTAGAAGCGGCATTTTTTTAGTCACAAAAACATACATTTTCTCATGATAATAAATCATTTTAAGATACGATTCGTAATCGACAACATTTCGTCATTAAATATTCCAAACCATACCTTCAAAAATGATTTTATTTTAAAGATATAGGGCATTTAAGTTTGAATGTCTTCAAAATTTGAGTAACGTCATCAACCGTTCGCCTCTTTTTAATGATAACATCGACATCCACTCATCAGCAAGAATGAATAACGCTGAAAACCGTTTAACGAGTCAATTTTTCAGGACTTTTGTGCTATAGTAACTAGGAAAGAGTAAAGCTTTTTTGTTCATTTAAAATATTCATTTATTCATGGTACTTTCTAATGGACTTCATGCTTACGAAATCCATCTAATCTTCAATGATTTTTAAATTATCCGCCATATAAAATGATTTATTTTACAGCATATAAATTATTTTACAGCATACAAATTAATTTAAAGTAAGTAAGTAGGTAGGTAGGTACGTAGGTAGGTATCGACCTCGGCAAAACGCGAAAATTTGTATTCGCGAATATAAATTGGGTTACAGTATACCGTGATACGAGCAAGTCAAGATATGCTCTGTGCTGATCTCACTGTGCTGATCTCAGTACAATTAAGTAATAGAAAGAGCACCGAAACACGAGGCTAACTGATGAATGAATTGGCACCAGGACGCTTCCGTAGAAAGAACACCAAAACACTCGGCAATCTGATTTGACAGGCTTTTTTATCTCCTACGTAGGAGTTTATTTTTTTATAGAACATTATGAATTGGCACCAGGACGCTTCCGTATCTTTCTCTTTTGTATCATAGTAAAACATAAAAACACGTTCCCTGTTGTCACAATTTTAAACCCCGGGAAAAAGTAACCAATGATCGAGCATCTGAATATGATATTTCTGCCGCTTTCCCTTTCTCTGCCGTCACAATATGTAAACCCCAGCAAAAATGAGCCAATCAACGGGCATGATCTGGAGTGCGGGTAACTGATACCTGCACTCCAGTTACCGCACTGTGCATGTATATGTATACGATTTAACCCTGACACATTTTCAACAGAAAGGTCTCCAAACTATGATACAATATATATTATCTGTCAAAAAGTTTTGATTTCCGAGATACAGAGCGGACACGAAATTTTCAAATTTATCTATTATGACTAATTGTGGATTTGACTTTGTCCCGAGAAAACCAAAACCTGCGTACTGTATATCGTCTCATAGTGTTTCATCTTTTTTTTTTTGCTAAGTAGTTTGAACTTCTAACAATCGGTTTAAAAATATAGGGACATTCATCTTCTTTCAGACGGACGGGCGGACTGCCAAGTGCATAACACTATACACCACAATTCGAACCTGAAAAAATAAATCAGCTGATATTCAACATCAAACTTTGTCAGAACATCCATATAAACTTTGCACGTTGTAGTAAGGCAGAGCTCTCCTCAGTGATCCTGCTGATGTGAAGGTAATTTTTGTTTCAAATCCAGTTATATCCAGTATATAAATCGTTTGGCCACTTAAGTTCGACATAAGTGAAGGAGTTTTATCAATATCTTATACAGAACTGGTATTTCTATACAATTCATTTCTTAAAGGACCTCCATCTTAAAAACATAAAATTTTAATTTCTCACAGAGATCAACTTGGGTACTTAAAACAGAAAGGTATATAAAAGGTAATAAAAAAAATATAAACTTAGACGTACTTTGACAGGCACATGGTTGTGCTAGTTTCTGAGTCCGATTGAGTGAAAAGCGTTGCAACGCTTTTCAATTTTGGGTTATTTCTTTTTCAGAATGAGAATAATTATATAAGATGCACATTAGTTATTGGTTTAGACATACCTACATGTAATTGGAGAATAATCTCGAAAAATTATTTCCAGTCCAGTCATGTCAAAAAAACTCAGTGGAGTCCCCCTAATATATCCACAATCTTGTTACTTTAATTCTTTAGAGTTAGTTTCTCTATAGCTTATATTCATACGGCTGTACGAAGCTATCACATTAAAATCAAATTATTGTTTTATTCTCACCCATTAGACTGTGCTTTCAAGCAAATTTGTATATGTACATTGCAGCCATTGTGTCCACATGACGTTGAGGGATCATGATAATGTATCGGTCTCAACATAACAAGTATCATCGCCTGAAAAACAAGTTTTTATCATTGAATTTACTGTTTTCCTAAAACTTATTTAGAAACCTTCAAAATTTGAAAATATAGTCAGAGTTTTGAAAATTGTTAAAAACATGTATTAATATTTACATTAATTATCACTATGAATGAAAAAGAATAAAATATAGTATGTTCTATGTTTTGGTTATTCAATATAACTGATTGTTATCTTATTCTTGAGGCTGTGAATTATCTAATATGTTCACTATCAAGGATGTTAATTTTGATCTGATTTATTGAAATGGTGGTCATACCCCTCTTGCTAGTTGTTGATGAACTGTTGGAACAAGTAAAGGAAAGTTCGGAAAATATCTTCTCAAAGCTGTTTTATTTATTAGGCTCAGCAGATAGATATGTGTATTGAACAGTAAGCTGCTTACAGTTTTGTTATCACACTCTGCTTTAAATTCTAATGTCCTGAAATTATCAAATTGATATTGTTAAAATTATAGAATTACTGATTTGTTTAACAGAATGATGCATAACCAAGGCAATTAAACACTGAATATTATACATAAAAGTGTTAACTTTAATTTTTATAAGGCAATAATTAATATGAATTGTTATTTATACAATTAATTATTAATTGACGAATAAAAAGTTTGTCTTTGTCTTGATCATTAATTATCATGACAATGTATGAATTAACTTGAAATGCGGAAAAATTGATCTATTTTATCTATTAAGTTTATAGTCTTAAATCGCAGGAATGTTATGCATATACATTATTTTCCTTTATATGTTTGAATATTATAATATATTTTTGTTTTCTAGCTTATTAAAAGGCTTCATCACATAAACCGCGGCGCAGGGTTGTAATAATATACAATTATTGACTAGTGAGCCATTGAATATGATGTGATATTCACCGGAAGATGACATATTGACCGAGGCTAACCTTGAGGTTAGACAAACTTTAACAACAATATAGGCCAAAACAACCTTATCTGCTGGATAGACTCCAGTAGTTCGAACTCATTTATTCGCCTCTTACGATCACGCAGAGATAAAACCTTAAAGGCAACCCTTCAGTCACAATAATTTTGTCCTAATATATGTGATCAGAATGTATTTAATTAGTTCATTATAGTTACTTGTACTAAAAACAATACAATAAGAAAAAATAGGCTTATGTTTATATTACATAAGAACAATTAAACAACATACCCTTCCATATTAAAACGTAAAATTTCAACATTCACCTCGTGTGCATCTGAACAGATTTCATGGAGAAAAAATTGTGATAAAAGCTGTCGTATGTACGGAGGAGTAAAATTCTCAGGTCCATAAGATCCAGGAGTAAGTTTAAATGTTGATACGTCTTTAATATAAATAAATTATACTTTTATAACAGAGTACATGTAACTACGTAGCAAAGTATCATTTTAAAATCACAAATATATATGTGTCTTAACAGTCATCAGATGGTAATGTATTAAAAAAGTAAACTTGGTTATATCATATACTGTCACGTGGTTTTGTCGTCAATTTATAGTTTAACATCGGATAAATAAATCGTGTTTATGTAGTATTCGAACTTATATAGCTTATAAAAGACTCATTTTAAGACCATTTAAACAATGAGGCTATCAGAGGTTGAATATACAGAAAGAAATATTTTAATGTGAAATACCTATTATGAATTGTAAACAGTACGACACATCGTAGGAACATTTTAAATTAGCAACAAAAAGACTACAAAAGACTAGTGTAGCAAGGCATTTATGGCATAGTTGTTAAATGTTGTATTTTTAGTATTCAATAAGTTGTCGCTTTTTTCTAATAGTGTAATTGATTATGTTGTTCCAGTAATAGACCAGGTTTATGAATTGTAGGATTTGTCAGATTTATTTAACGTAACTTTGTTTATTACAACATGGTATTTTGTTTCAAGTTATGAAACTTGCAAATAATGATATAGTTTTAAATAATCATGGCATGAATAATTTGTTTGAGAAAAAAAGCTTGTCTGTTTTTGCTTACCATTTCTGCTACAAGACTGTAGTAAAGTATGGCCGTTATTCTTTGTACAAATACTATATTGTTGAGTACATTGACTGCTACAGTCAGGACCATAGTACCCGTCTTGACACCATATTCGTATACCAATGTCTAGACTTTATACATAATGTAAACATATACAAGAACACGGTAATTAAGGAATTAGTTTAAATATACCAATAAAAATTGATATGTAAATCCTGTCCCTTTTCAGCAGACCTTTTATAATGTAACGAACTTTTTTTAGTATATGTATAAACAATTGTAAGATATAGATAACAATAAAGAAAATTTGAAAAACGCGAGAGCCTTGAGATGTAAGTCAAAAGAATAGTGAGGAAAATGATATACCTGACATATCTTTTAAATGACAACACTTGGGGAAATGAACTTTCATAGTTGGTATCAGCACGTAAAGCAATAGTTGATGTAAAAGTATCAACAAGCTCGTTATTGTGGCCATCTTTATCCATCACATTTGCAACATATTCTAGAGAGCTCTGTGTGGACAAAATATGTGTTTCAGGTAAATATATCATGAGGAATTCAATAAATTATATTATTACCCCTCACTTTTTTCGTAATGTTAATTTCCCATAGGCCTCTGGGAGTTATTCTTACTGTTAATGCAAGTGTACCACGTGACTAAGAATTTTGTACTGTTACATAAATTATGTAACAGTATTTTTTAACAGTATAAAGTCTGGTCACGTGGTCTATTTTCAAATAAAATGGCCGCCATTTTTTTCTCGGTTCATTGTTATTTTCGACGATAGGGCATCGCCGAAGTAACTATGACTCTCATAAAATAAAGTTCTTTGCACCCTAGAGTTCTTTTCGCGTATAAAATATAGTCAAAAAGTAAACATCCGTTTTCAACGGAACTAATTGTAATGTGAATAATTTTGTGTCAAACTGGAACATGCAGACGATTAAAGCATGCAACAAAAGATTATTTAACAATTTTAACCAGTGAAACGTTACAGATAGAGTTGGTGGACAAACATCTAGGATACCATCGTTATTTTCTAAATGCACTTTGTCAAAAACCATTTGAAGAATATTCTGGATACAAAAAGATCAGATTTCACTGATCATAACCTCATAAATGGGTTAGTGTTTTGTTTTCTAAATAAAACACAGCTTATTGTATGTTTATGACTGGTAGATATTATCACTAGTCTTGAGAAGAACAGCTTCTCAAGTAGACCTACAGTACACTTAAAACTTGCAAGGTAAGGACAGTTTAGTTGTTGCATCTCTTGGTTTATTTTTGTTACAGTTAGATTTAGTTGACAAATTCAGATCATCACAGTATTTTGTTCGGGGTAATAAAATAAATAACACATGGGTTTGTGGGTAACAGACTACGCCTACGCTACGCCTCGGGTAACAGTAGTTTCCTCGGGATAATATTTTTACTGTTACCCACAAACCCATGTGCTATTTATATACTGTTCTTTTAATTGAATTAAATAAAACAAATAGTAAAACGCAGAGATTATTCCTCTCTGGCGTGGGTTCGATCCCCGGGAGATGCTTTGGTAGTTTAGCGCGGAGGAAGGTAGTCTAGTACTGGTGTAACTCTCCAGGAACGATGGTTAGGAAACTACCCGCCTATATGACTGAAATACTGTTGGGAACAGGCGTAAAATAATGAAACAAACAAACAAAGCAGAGATTATATCAGGAAAGAAACAAAGAAAGAATTATTTAATGAGTAAAATATCATACCGATTGCCAATGATCCCATGTTATAAAATGTATAACAGTGTTGTCAAAGGAAGTCCCGAACGAGGCTTTGTTGTTGAGAACACTTGTTGTTATACTTGGACCTATGCATTTTCCACTTCTGATACTGTAAAAAACATATTTTTTCATTATATCAAATTATTGATTTCTCTCAGTTTATTAAACATGACAACATCAAAACTTAATGTAACAACTAGACATAATTATGATGTAAACGATAAATTTGCTTTGCTTTTAACATGAACTTGATTTTATATCGCAACTAACCTAAAATGTGAAATAAACTTTTCTTTTTGAAATCTCTAAATTTTTATTGCACGATGAACAAAGACAAAAAGGCATATTTGTTTTATGACACAATATTTAAAATTAATTATTTTGTTTATTCTAAAGAAATGGTAGAAGTCTTACCCGCCAATGCAAAACACAAAGAGTGAGTCACAAGTATCAGTTGTGCTACATGTAGGGATAGTCCCTCTATCACAACATTTCCTTTGTGAATGTATGTCCATACCATGGAATGATGTCCCCAGTGGATTGTCATATTGTAAAATTTGTACTTGGATATTTACGTGACCATCCGCATTTATTGCCTACAAGTAAACATAAAATGACTATGAAGTAAATTAAAAACATATTGTTATTATAAGTGTTTCAAGAAAATACTAATTGATAAGATGATTTTGTAACCGATTATAATTGTCTTGCGTTTTATCATTAGACATGTAATTCACAGCGTTTAAACTTTTATTGTCATTGAGGAATGTCTGTGTAACTTAGCGTCCGATGTCAGTTTGTTCTTTCATCGCAAACTGGTTTTAAGATTATCTTTATTCTAAAAACTGATTTTCTTTACCTGAACAAGTTGTAAAAGTAAAAATCCTTTTAATATGAAGTTGTTTGCCATGCTATCATCCTTTGTCGGTGAAAGTTGGAAATTAACTTTCAAACATTTGATTGTGCATACAACATGTATTCAACTGCGCTGTTAAAATTATCAAACTGTGATAATAATTGAGATAAAAATTGATAACTGAATTAGATTGTAAAGAGCTGTAATAACCGAGACTCCTTACAACATTTTAATGGGTATTGCACTCACCGACAGAAAAAGACTCTTTTTTCATGTAGAGGCTGTTTATCGAAATACCATGAACCGTAACTGAAATACACATATTTCAGACAGATAAGGCTGCGGATCGGCAATGTGTTGGTAAAATCAGCATATAATTATTTCATATCATTATATAAGATAGACAATATATACATATACATATATATTCCTGGTTGTATTTTGAAAACAATATAATGTCGAAGGATGATGGATTGTAAAGATTACATTATAAATCTTGGGTAAGTATGTATCGGTCTGAATATATCAACATGACAATCAGATTTCCTGCAATAATAACACAATACTGAGTCTCTGTCTTGGAACTGTTCTCTTTATATCCCTTTAAGTGTAAGTGACGAAGCTATCATGTTAAAGAATTTATAATACGCAGAATTGTTTTGTAAGGGTTTATATAACGTATGACTGAATAAATACATAATGAACTTAACAATTGACATTTCAATTATAAATAAACACAGAATTATATTTGAGTATCAACTCAAACAATCAACAAATGTATTTACACAACTATAACATAGAATAAGATAAAATTAAGATTAAATTTTAAATTTCGAATTGCATATTGACCTTATTTGAACTGCACATATTATGCACGTTAATTGACACTAAACGCACGTTTTCTAAGATTGATACATTATCAAGTTTACACATATCTGAGAGATTTAGATTTGTACCAATCATTCAACGATTGTTTTCGTGTACAAAAAATATACAATTGTTCTGTTCTTGTTCTGTTGTTTCAAATATCTATTTCAAGAAATTAACTTTATTTTGCTACACATTTTAAAAAATCGAAATATTCATAATTTTACAAAGAGTTTTTAATATATATCAAATAATCAAAGCTGTAATGCATTGGTGAATATATCATCAAGGTAATAACACTTACTTACAATTAGAATATTTAACTTTATGTAGGAAATCAAAAATGCTTCACAGATGACGTAATAATATTAAAATCTCTAAAAACAATCAGTCGTTAGTATGTAAAGAAATGCTAGGCCTCCTTAAATATTACATAGATATTATACAATCTTTATAGTTATCAAATATATTTCGTCACAATACTTGTATTATGTATGCATGGCTAAATAGATACAAAACATGTATATTAAAGCCTTGGACTTCTTTTTCTATAAGTATCTCGCATACATGGATCCCAGTGAACGCTGATTCCATCCTTTGGAGAAGCTAAACTTTCTCCTTGACAATTGATCTCAATCATTGAATCTAATGATTATCTGTCTCTCACTTACAGAAGCTCGAATTGATGAATTGATCCCCCCGAGATGCCGTGGTCCGTAATAATTTATATGTGGTCATGTTAACATATATTTGTTCGACAAGACGTGTTTTATCATTGTTTTGATGAAGTAAAGTATAGTCTTGACAACATCTGTAAAAATTATTGTTTGGATTTTAAAAAAGAATACTTCCAAAATGTTTGTATGAAATAAAAATGGCAATCAATTGCCTTAAAGCGAGTGGGGCATGATCAAAGTCATTGCTAAACGGATAAAACCCTACTTCAAACAGCAAAATAATATTTTGTTCCGGAACATTTTATTCTGTTTATGTACATTATTCATGTGTGTTAAATAACAGAGATATTATATGTTACAACTTTTTCGGTAATCAGTCATATAATAATGGAGCTAATTTGATTTTACTGTTGATACATTTTTATAAAAATATTTCATAAGATATAGATTTATACCCTTTAATTCGATCTTATAACCCCGATGGTTGGATGGCCAAATACACAGAAAAAACATTGCTGTTAATAATTGAGACACGCCAGTATTACGCTAACCGCCGTTTCATCAGCATTTTAATGGCATGCCAAAAGATGGATTTTTAAATTTATATCAGTTACAGAGCAGGCATAAAATAAGTCAAATAGGCATTGCCCCATAATTGCGACCATGGGCATGAAGTGAAACATGTAAATATTATGCAAGGACATTCCTTGATGTGGTAAATAAATATGCGAAGTTTCTTTGATCTTTTTCAAAAAGACAGTGCAGTCCAGTGAATAATTCGGTAATTAATCAATATATGACGGCATAAAAAGGGAATGATTGCAGTGCACATGACGTCAATAAATCAAAATAAGCAGGGCCTTCCCACCATATCTACGTATTTTCAAAACCTTTCGAATGCAGAATGTCATTTATCTCTTTCTATATGGATACAATGTTATTCAAGCTCGTCTTGTAAAAATGTGTCTATTTCGGATAATAATGTTTTTATTAAAGAATGATACACAATAGAATAAATTATAGATTGCTTTATGAAAGTGATGCGTAATTATGTTGCTATTTTTTACATTATGCATATATATAGATCTCTTCAGCACATATGAATCTCAGATGCAATTTTGAGCACCGATTCCCTATGTTTGTAGCCAAATCTCAATAAATGTTTAAATCAGGATTTGTCTGAATGTTAAGCATCGGTCTGTAGTGAGATTTCGTAAAATCTCTGTTTTTGAGTCCGTTTTGTGACATTTACTTCATTCACATTGCATGTTTTGGACACACCAGAACCCACGACGAAAAGAATATCTCGACGAAGACTGCATAGAAATCCAAAACAAAAATGGGTTATAAATAGGAGAGTAAGGAGGGAAGAATCACATTTCGATTTTCTTAAAAAAAGGATAGAATACCCCCGTGCTATTTACGGTTGTAAAAGTAAAGTATAAATGGGTTCCATCTGAGGCCCGTCTGAGCACATAATTGTGTAAATGACAGTATATCAGTTGAGTTACTTACAGCTTTATTGTATAAGTTTTATACTGAAAGACAACATTTTTAAGATGCCAAGTTAAAGGCGTATAAACATCTGTATAAGGACATTTTAACTTCCATAAATGTCTATACAAAATGAAGTGCATTTAGCACTACCAAACAGTCAAATATTAGTCTCGCGAACAATATTTCTAACAAATCTGATAAATTTTATTATTCATCTTGATTTATTTCGATTTGTATTATTCTAACTGCATATGAACCCCTTTCAAAAAGAAACTATTCAATTTCATATGACTTGTACAATACTAAGGATAAAACAACCATATCTTACTGTCTCATTTAACGAGAGTAAGATGTCAATGTCAGATCTAGTGACAACACAAACATGTCACTGTATCATTGAACGAGAGTAAGATGTCAATGTCAGATCTAGTGACAACACAAACATGTCACTGTATCATTTAACGAGAGTAAGATGTCAATGTCAGATCTAGTGACAACACAAACAGGTTACTGTATCATTTAACAAGCGTAAGATGTCAATGTCAGATCTAGTGACAACACAAACATCAAACATGTCGCTGTATCAGTTAACGAGGGTAAGATGTCAATGTCAGATCTAGTGACAACACAATTATGTCACTGAATCACTTAACAAGAGTAAGATGTCAATGTCAGATCTAGTGACAACACAAACATGTCACTGTATCATTTAACGAGGGTAAGATGTCAATGTCAGATCTAGTGACAACACAAACATGTCACTGTATCATTTAACGAGGGTAAGATGTCAATGTCAGATCTAGTGACAACACAAACATGTCACTGTATCATTTAACGAGGGTAAAATGTCAATGTCAGATCTAGTGACAACACAAACACGTCAGTCTCATTTAACGAGGGTAAGATGTCAATGTCAGATCTAGTGACAACACAAACATGTCACTGTATCATTTAACGTGGGTAAAATGTCAATGTCAGATCTAGTAACAACACAAACACGTCACTGTCTCATTTAACAAAAGTAAGATGTCAATGTCAGATCTAGTGACAACACAAACATGTCACTGTATCATTTAACGTGGGTAAAATGTCAATGTCAGATCTAGTGACAACACAAACACGTCACTGTCTCATTTAACAAAAGTAAGATGTAAATGCCAGGTCTAGATCTAAGGAAAACATGTCACTGTTCCATTCGACGGAGTAATATGTAAATGTTAGACTAGTGATAACACAAACATGTCACTGTCTCATTCAACAAGGGTAAAATGTCAATATCAGGTCTAGATATATAACAATCACGTCACTGTCTCATTCAACGAGGGTAAAATGTCAATACCAGGTCTAGATATATAACAAACACGTCACTGTCTGATTCAACCGAGTAATATGTCAATGTTAGACGTAGTGATAACACAAACATGTCACTGTTTCATTCAACAAGGGAAAAATGTCAATACCAGGTCTAGATATATAACAATTATGTCACTGTCTCATTCAACGAGGGTAAAATGTCAATACCAGGTCTAGATATATAACAAAAACGTCACTGTCTCATTCAACAAGGGTAAAATGTCAATACCAGGTCTAGATATATAACAAACACGTCACTGTCTCATTCAACAAGGGTAAAATGTCAATACCAGGTCTAGATATATAACAAACACGTCACTGTCTCATTCAACAAGGGTAAAATGTCAATACCAGGTCTAGATCTATAACAAACACGCCACTGTCTCATTCAACGAGGGTAACATGTCAATGTCAGACTTTGTGATAACACAAACACATCACCGTCTCATTGAACAAGTGTAAGATGTCAATGTCAGATTTAGTGATAACACAAACACGTCACCGTCTCATTGAACAAGTGTAAGATGTCAATGTCAGATTTAGTGATAACACAAACACGTCACCGTCTCATTGAACAAGTGTAAGATGTCAATGTCAGATTTAGTGATAACACAAACACGTCACCGTCTCATTGAACAAGTGTTAGATGTCAATGTCAGATTAAGTGATAACACAAACACGTCACCGTCTCATTGAACAAGTGTAAGATGTCAATGTCAGATTTAGTTATAACACAAACACGTCACTGTCTCATTGAACA